TAATCATGCTTTGAACCAGCCTGGCCTGATCTTTTTTGGTAATATTGCATAATATTGCAAATTAGCATTATTAGAGTGTTGTTATTAGCATTTTAGAGCGTTAATATTGACATGATTAGACTGTTATTATTGTGTCGGCTTTAATCGTGACACAAGCTTTCGCCACCCTGCTTTCTGTAAATCCTCTTTAAAGATGTGTTATTCAAATCACGGTCCTCAAGGGTCGAGCAGTGCTGGTTTTCCAGCCTTCCTTTCCCCGTGAGCCGGGTGTGAAGCCCAATCAGAATCAGTAATTATTAAAGTAACTAGCTGGGAGAACTGAAAACAAGGCCTGGATTTGGAATCGAGGTCCAGATTTGAAGAGCCCTGCTGTAGGCACTATATTAAATGCTTATGCTTGGCTGTGACTCACAAGGCAACCATAATGATGAGCTTGGAGTCTTTAGTAGGTTCTGTCACAGTATGAAGGAGCATTCAGCAAACCGGGGTAGCGCCTGGACAGGATGCCAGGCCATCCCAGGGCACACGCACACCCACATACAACCGACCACACGCTGCAGGCAACTTGGAAATGCCAGTTAGCCTAACCGCATGCCTGTGGCGTCTGGGAGGAAAGGGGAGCACGTGGAGGGAACCCATGTGATATGAAGACTCCAGACACAAAGAAAAGGTGGGATTCAAACCCCCATCCCCAGAGTGTGAGCCCCCCCCCCCAAAGCCTGTTTATTAAATGAAAGCGTGCATCTTAGCGGACGATGTCGGACACACCGGCCAGGCCTGTGTCCCTGGTGTTGTATCTGCCCCATTTTTTGTTTTTTTAGCTACAGTACCACCATGTGATTCACAAACCATATCTTCCCATATCACACTGGGTATAATCGTAAATGGTGATGGATGGGCAACACACCAATTAAGGTTAATTAATCTTGCTTTTAGATACAATAGCAGTGGGATTCGGGTCCAGAACCTTAGGCTACAGCGGGGGAACATGCAAACTCCACACAATAATAATGCTGATCTTCACGGTATGAAGCCCTACCGGTCATCTGAGACCAACCATTGCCCTTTAAGTAGCTAACAAAGCGCAATTCATGGGAATTAATCTGGCCTGTGAACTGTGGCGGCTTATTGATTCGTCAGGCACCCTGAAAGTCACAGAGTAACGTTTGTGTGTTTCTCTGTCTCGTGCCTTAGAACGATTATGGCGCAGGTTTAGCTTTGACCACAGATCTTAATGTATGTTAGACATGTAATGCACAGCCAACTGATCTGAAGTCAGCAAAGTAACCACGGTCACCGGCGGTGGGACCAATATCGATCACGTTCTTGCTGGCTTGCTGACATTAGCTGAAGACATTCAGCTGACGCTTACGAATGTCTCGAGTCTGAAAATGAGGGGCCTCACCAGTGGGACCCCCCCCCCCACAGTCAGCCATTAGAAAGAACACTAATACACTAGAAAACACAAAGAATGCACATGTGACACGGGAATGAACATGTGACCTTGGGAGTAATGTGGAGCAATTTTGCTGTCCTTAATAGTGTGTAAATCAGTTTAGTTTGCCTCTGACCTGTACCCCTCAGTGTAGGCAGACAAAGGGAGAACAGCAGCCCCAACTGAATAAGAAAAGATGGATTTTAATGGCTGCTGATTGCGACTCCACCCCCACAAAACAGAATTTCCATTTAAAGTGCTTGCTTAAGCAGCCGTGAAGCCTGGCCCCGCCCATCCCTTGCAGGGCATCGTGGGTGAGGAAGGCCCACTGCCGTGCGGCCCGCGGCAGCGTGAAATCACCACCCCCGGCGACTTTCTGAAAGCCATGAGTTCTCCCAGGAGGGCCCCCCATCTCTTTTAAGAGCCCCCCCCCCCCACATTGTACCACATCACTACGTGTCGTTGCACAGCAACTTTACTCCAGGGAGGTTAGTAAAACAGCAAGTCCCCCCCACCCATAAGCACGCACCATCAGAGTGTCCCACCCCCCGTGGTGCAGAGCCCCCACTTCCCTGTGTCTGCCTCAGTAGGTTGGGGGTAGGCGATCGGCTATCCCCAGGGTCACATGGGCACACAGGTTCAGACTATTTCATGAACATTGACCAAACTGGTCGGCCTCAATACAGTCTTTCAACCAGCAGTGCTGTTTACTACCACCAAAATCATTCATTTGCATGGGGCCTCTGGGGTTTGACTACCACCCCCCCCCTTTGCCCCCAAATTGCTATAACACAAAAATTAAATTATGTGTGTCCTTATATATGTCCCTATATATAGAGGTGACACATTAAGTAAGGGCGTGTGCAGTAGGCTGCAGTGGCCACACCGAGTCCTAAATATATGTATGTTTGCAATACATAGTGTGTCATTTTATGTTTTTGAATAAGTGGGAACAACTGGTCTTGAGTCTCTCTCTCTCTCTCTCTCTCTCTCTTTCTCTCACTCTCTCTTACTCACTCTTAATTATGAGATGTGAAGCAGCATGTTCTGCTATTTATGATCTTCTAACTCTACTCGCTAGCTATTTCGTTTTTTAAACGTCTGGGGAGGGGGGGGCTTGAAGTGAGTTTTTCAGTGGGGGCCCTGAATCAACAAACCCACCCACGCTTTCAGCTCCTGGCCACCCCCGAATCACTTTACACCAGGCACCCGCTTTCGAAAAGGCCACAACTCAGAGGCAGAAATGACACATTAATTTAATATCAGGAGTAATGATAAGTGACTGGAGATGGACAAATGGCAGACAGGTGCATCGGGAGAAACTGAGAAGGGGGAGAAACGGAGATGTGAGGATCCAGAGAACCTCCTCCTTCCCCTGATAAGTTTCTCTCTGCTGAGTCTCCACACACCCCACGCCTCACCTCCCCGTCGCCGTGTTTTGTTTCTGCTCCTGCCCTCCAGTGGTTCCTCAGGCCGGGACGAGCCGCATCCGTGGGATTTAGGAGCTTCCCGTCAGCTCGGAGCATCCCTCCGATCCCCAGCCTCCGTGCAGTGCTGAGGAGATGAGCTCTTTTCTGTCTCAGCGCTCCAGGCAGCCGGCCGTGTGCATCTCAATTAAGGCTGTTCCATGGAGGACCTGGTATCCCAGCATCTTCTGCTCTGGCCTGAGCCCCCAGAGAATGAGCCCGCAAGTGCGGGGGACCTTTAAGGCCAGGTTTACGCTTAGCCTTATTTCCATGGCTTTCTGTTGTTCTCATAAGTTAACTCCTTGGTTTAAGCCTAATATAAGGTGAGTGATTACATAACTTAAAGCAGGATTTGCATTCGGCATGACAACACACAGGGTTTCCTGCAGGTAATTGCATGGACTGGCATCCTGTCCAGGGTGTCCCCTGCCTTGTGCCCTGCTATGGATTGGCATCCCGTCCAGGGTGTCCCCTGCCCTGTGCCCTGCTATGGACTGGCATCCTGTCCAGGGTGTCCCCTGCCTTGTGCCCTGCTATGGACTGGCATCCCGTTCAGGGTGTCCCCTGCCTTGTGCCCTGCTATGGACTGGCATCCCGTTCAGGGTGTCTCCTGCCTCATGCTCAATGATGGACTGGAATCTGGTCCAGGTTGTCTCCCTTGTCATAAATATTTAGCTCGGCAGTCTTTTTAAAATTTTATTAATTCCTGCACTTCTCCAGAAAAAAACCCATAGAAAATTCAACTTCAAATGACAGGCCAGCTGCCAAGGAGAGGAGAATCAGAGGTAAAAGCAAATATGTACAGCACACCTGTTTACTGCGATTCCATAGCATTCTCTCGCATTGGCCGAGAGGGAGAAACAGCAGCCACACTTTTACTAAGTGCCAAGGACTTTCTGTGATTTAGTAAGTGAGCTGTGAGCTGACTCCAGAGCAGACTTTTACTTGTGATGTGAAAAATCTCCCCACTGGCTCAGCCAGCTAGGATAAGGGCCCCATCTTATTGGACAGGGAGATTCATACAGCCGGGGCACCAGGTCAGTCATTAACACCAAGTGGTTTGAACGCCACCTTATAAAAACTTGCAAAAGTGGAACACTGAGGGAGATCGATCATGTCACTGTATCACGTGACAGTTTAAAGGGACTCAACTCTGTTTATTAGCTGTCAGGCAACATGCGAACAGTGGGGTCTGCACACAGAGATTAATGTTGTCATATGAGACAAAGAAGGAAGTCACCTGTGAAGATGTCACAGACGAAGCTGGACATTCAGCGGCCGAAGTTGAAGATGCTGTGGATGCGTCGTAGATGTTATAGATGAAGCTGGAGATGCTGTGGAAGAGTTGTAGATGTTGTGGATGAAGTTGGAGAAGCTGTGGAAGGGGTGTAGATGTTATGGATGAAGTTGGAGATGTTGTAGATGGGTTGTAGATGTTATGGATGAAGTTGGAGATGTTGTGGAACGGTTGTCTAATTTATGGCTGATGTTGAAGATGCTGTGGAAGGGATGGAGATCTTATGGATAAATCATGCAGGACACGTAGCTTCTGGCCAAAGGACCCCGTTTGTGAGGTTCACTTGTCCATCCATCATCTTTATCCCCTTTCTCTTTGCATATCTTATTCCATAAACAAGGTAGGTAAAGCACCATATATGGCATCATAATGAAGATTTATTAATCGCCTGTTCCTCTATCAAACACATGGCTCTGAGTGCTGATTTATTTGATTTAATTAGCCTGCAAATGTAAAACAGGCTGGAGTGATAAAAAGGTAAAGACAAGTGAGGGAGGGCACATAAATTACCCCCCCTTCCCAGAGTGCTGAATAATGGCCAGGGGGGGTACAGTGTGGGGGAGCCGAGGGGAGATAGCAGCCAATTAGATTAAAAGGGTTGAGAGAACAATGCCGGGATGTACAGTGTTACGGTCCGGTGTCACGCTGGGGGGGGCGGGGGGGGGGGGGGGGTCGATTAAAGTTAAACAGATCTTCTCCTGACATCAGCAGCAGTTTCTCTAAACAGCCCCCCCCCCCCCCACACCACAGAATTTATAACACTGACAGCCAATCAAACCATCACTGCTAATATGCATCTGATTTATTCTGAGTGATCAGCAAGGGGTGGCGTGGGGTGGGGTGGGGTGGCGTGGGGTGGGGTGGCGTGGATGGATAAATCTGCTTTCTGCAAAAAGGCGTGTCCATCGACGTTAGGGTCCTCTGAAGGTGGCTCAGCCAGGGTTCCGGGATCAGAACACGCCTGAGGGCCGTCAGTTACAGTACCATCTGAAATAAAGCAAAAACACGGCAAATCACCACGCAAGTCTAAAGCATTTCCACGTCTGGTCCGGAGGAGATGGACAAAAGAGGAAGACGATGCTGATGAGAGTCCACTAGGGATGTAACGATACCATTTGCCCACAATTCAGTATGCATCGTAGTTTTGTGGCCATAGTAACGGCAAGGTTTCTGTATCCTTATATCGTTAAAAAATCAGATATAAAATCGTATATTGTATATAAAAAAACACATCACCCATCAATTAAATAATTAACTCTTTATTTTTCCAAATAACCGCATATTTAGCTTGGCAGCAATATGTTCCCTTACCCAGTAGGGGTGTCACGGTACACGGTATATTATCGTTATGTTCGGTACGATACCACGGTATTACGATAGGCCTGTCATTTTCTTACACATACCAGCACGAATATAAGATGGTGTTTTTTTCCCCACAAAAAATACATTTAAAAAACTGGGGTCGTCTTATTTTCAAGGGCTAGAATTCAAATCTCAATATACAACAGCAGATGGTGTACCGAATGGTTTGATATAGCCGTGATACCTACCTGAACCACAGGCAAAAGGTATTCTTACATCGTGAGAGTCCATGAGTTCCATGTGAATCGGCTTAGAAACAGAAAGAGGGAAAGTCCCTATCAGCCGCCGACTCTGAGGAGAGCGTCCCCTGGTGGTCCAGGCTCAACCTGCTCTCCGAGGCTCTTTTTTTTGTGACGCTTTTTCCGCTTTGTGCTGAATATGTCTGATGGACTGAGCATACAGTCCGTCGGCTCCCAGGAGGAGCTCCAAAAAGGGCACCGCTTTTCCTCCCGATTACCAGAAGGAGCTGATTAACGCATGATAAAGGGTGCAGAAATGATGGTTATCTGACCACCACGACCGTTCCCTGTGGTTCCAACTGGACCAGCTTTAAGCGAGCTGATCAGAAACATGACACGCGCTCTACATCCGCTCCGTGCAGGACCAGAGACAGGCAACGTGCCGACGGGCATACAATAGTTTCCTCATTTACGGGGGCTAGAGGAGAGAACCATGCAGGAAAATCCGACAGAGAATTTCCCGCCTACAATGGGGATGCCAGCTCTAAGTCGATTGGTTCACTTTCACTAACAGGTCATGCAGTAAACGAATAAGCAGTATTACCAATCCACAGATGATTACTCATCCTGGGGGGATTTTCAAAAGATACAGAGAAATGTGCACTTGTTAAATCAGGAAAACGGGAAATAGATTCCAGTGTTTCCCCGATTGTGTGTTGATTAAATCAGCTTCTGTGGACGAGGTTCATCTGGCTGTTTTACATAGAGAATATCTCCCTTAATGCTGTTAGATTTCTTGTGCATATACTGAAATAAACAGTAATTTCCTTGAAATACTGTGGATGAAAACAAATCGGCTGATATTAAAAAGAATTTCCCACAATCCTTCTGAACAAGTTCTGTGAACTTTTGTCCCAACTCTCAGTTTCTGTCAGGCTGGCTGCTGAGATGGTACACTGACCTATGACCCCCGACGTTAAGCACTTCCTAGCGACAGCGACTGGTTGCCCTGGGCTTGTGGAGCATGCAGTGGAAATGGGTTGTCCAGGGCACCTGAATATCTCCTTCTCCAGAGTATCCATGATTCCCTTGCTCAGCTGATGAGAGTGGACAGGGGGCACAGGAGTATGACAACTTCAGGGTTTGAGAAGAGAAGGTCTTCATACAGTGGTACAATAGAAGTCAACACCAACATTCCCAGTACCAGACATCAATAGAGACATCTACGTTATATTCTAACAGAATCTAAGTGTATATCAGTTTGTAGTAAATACATGTACTGTACATTCCCACATGGACCCCTCAACTACACACATTTGGTATGTTCAGTTCCAGGAATGCTCAGTTCAGTTGAGTGATTGCTTATAAAACCTGTCATTATCCAGAAGGTAACAAGGCACGGAAACAATCTGGGTCTGACATAGGAGAGCAGTCACGGAATGTAATAGTCCATATCGGCTTTTCTTCATTATGATACTCACCTGCAGTCACAGACTAAGATGTAAACATCAGAAGATATAGGCCGGAAATGGCTTGATCCATGGTTGAATCTACCAAAGCACATTGTGATCCCCTGCAGCCCGCCCTCTCTGTGACGGCCCTTCATCACGGCCGGTCCACAAACACTCTGTGTTCTGCCCTAACATTGAGGGGTCAGGAGGTATAGATGTACTGTGACCATCCAGTCGCCGCTGCAAGCAACGGAAGTGAGCAGGCATTGGGTGATGAGAGAGGACAAGCAGACACTACAGCGAGAGAGGTCAGGGGATGAGGGTGTGTGGACAAGAAGGGGTCAGAGGGTCAGGCTGAAGTCACAGGCGAGGGCCAAAGCAGGAACGTAGAACCAAAACTGCTAGGAAACAGAATAGTGGCAAATCAGCAGGGCAGAACACCGAGCACATCAAGAAGAGCACTACCATCCTCCATAAAGGACAGACACTAAGTGGTGATGCCCTCTAGAGTATGGGTGGAGCATCGGATTTCAAATTCTACCACCTCTAAGAAGGCCACCTTCCTCCCAGTATGAGAGCAAACATGCCAGTGCTCTAGGTCCTGAAAAATCTGATGGCACAAAAAAATCTTTTACGTAAACCTCAATGAAGATGCTGGTACTGACATAATCACCCAATTAGACAGAACAGGCTCTAGTTTATACAGCTAATTGGAAATGGGACATTTGCTCACCTGTAGCTCACGGCATATTTAAACGAGGCATTTTTGTGGCAATGCTCTGATCTGTGAAGAGGCTGTGTCGTGCGCATTTGCCCGGGGAACAATGCAGAGGCTAAAAACAGCAAAGCATTTTGTTGTCTTATCTGAGTTTTTTTTTTCTGTGATTTGACTTCCTCACATTCCCCCACCTAGCAGGTGGGTTGGTGTATGTGCGCCTAGCAGAAAGAAAACGTTGTCAGGCTAACCATGTGGTCAAGCGAAGGGCAGGCTGGGCCGCTTGGTGGCCTGCTGACACGACTGCATGCAGGCCAGCAAGCAAATTTCTAAAATGTAAACAGCATTTTGAGTGGCCAGTCAAGTAGTGCTTCCCATATAAATATTAATGAACATTCCCATTCAACTTATTCACTGGCCAATCAGGTAGCGCTCCCATTATGAATATTAATAAGACCCCCCCTGCCGTTTTACATTTCAGAATAATTGCAGTGGGCAGACCTCTGAGTGGGTCTTTTTCCAATGCACTTGGAGAAGCCAGGTGAACTCAGTACACCGAGGTGCACGTGTGTAATAAAAGTATTTTCATGAAATACTCCAAGCCAGGATCTTGGGATACGGAGCAAAGCGATGACACAGCAAATTCAAGTGGGTTTATGCAGTCCTTCAAAGCTACCGCTGGAGTCCCCCCCCAGATTGGGAATGGCTCAGTCTGAGTATCCTGCAGCCTGCCCAGCAGCTCACTGGAGCTTTAACAGCTCATCTGAATTAATCTGATTGACTGAGTGTGTAGTGTCACCAAAAGCAATGATCAATGCAAAATCAAATGGTATACAGGGTTGTGTTACAGTGATAGCAGCAGTGTCCCTTATGACCAGAAATGGTCCAGTGCAAAGCTGAAACCACAGCACCCCTCTGTTGGGACACCGCACTGCGTCATCGATCTACCCGGGCAACCCCGACAAGCAGGTGGCTCCCACGAACCAGAGGTCGGGATGCCGGCCTCCACGTGCATGCTGATGATGCACCCTAGATTTGCAGCTGTTCCGGGGGGGGGGGGGGGGCACGTGGGGTGGAATCTTACACATGGAGTGGGATCATGCAAGCTCAGCACCCACTGACCCCCACGGAGAACCAGCAGCAAGGGAGGCAGAGAGAATATTCAGGAAAGAAGAAAAAAACGAGTGATGCTGAGATCAGGCTGGTCTCAGACACACCGATGGCAGGATGGCGTGACGTACTCTGCCAAGACCCCCGGGCGAGGACGGGCAGTGCCAACAGCACACTCTCAGGCAAACGGGCCCGACAATGTCTCTGCCAGGGGCAGGAACAGCCTTAAATCCAGCAGCGTGACCAAGAGCACAGAAACTTCCAGAAGCCAGGTGGCCGACCCGCTGGTTCAGGAGAGAACATTTTAATCAGCACCTGACTGACAGCTCGAACGCCAGCTGAGGTGAATTACTGTTCAGATAATGAGCTCAATAAAGCAATTAAGGGCAGAGCAGAGAAGCGACCGCAGCAGAGGGCTTGTCAGCCTGATCTGCACGTCCCCTTCCTACATTTATATTTAGATCACTGCATTTTCCCCATCACACTAATTATTGATCTGACTGGAGGTTTACATTAAACTAACACCATATGTGACGTTCAGCGGGTTAGCAATTTGTGTCTGTGTCCAGAAGGTTGTGGGTTTGAAACCCCTGGCCGATAATCATATCTCTGTTGAGCCCTTGAGGAAGGCCTTATATTTATAACAGACACAGAGGTACTGCAAACTGGCGGAGACTGCTCTCTGACCCCAAAGCTTTCCTCACTTTGGACAAGAAACTCTATGCTTAACTTAATAATTGCAAATGTATTCTAAATTTAACTAATGATAAATTGCAAAAGGTTGATAATTATGCATGTATACAAACAAGCTGTGTTAGATAAACACAAAAATGGTTGAATATAGCTTTTATATAGCACATCTGTTATTAATAATTGACTTTGGTGACAATTTTTGGGCCTGCATTCATAGGGGGGGGGGGGGGGGGGCATGTCACTGAAGACACGGTCCCCCAGCCAAGATGTGCTCGAGCTGAGGAGTGCCATTCTGACGCCGATGGGGGACGCCACAGCGGAGACCCCCCCTGCCCCCCAGTCATAAGGCTCTCTCTATATCCCTGTTTAATTTTCTTATGTTGCAAAGGCAGAAACGGCACACACTCTACACGTGTAGTAACCAGTCTTTCAGGGGTTACCAATTCTCGGCAAGGGGGTCGACTGTTGTACCGCTGAGGCCGACCTCTCCCATTAAGCTTCAAAAATGGTTAAAACTAAACACGGAACAATTTACTTTAATGTACCTCTGAACACATAGAGGCCATTAACTGCGTTCACTGCGCTAAGATGTTCCAATTTGTTCCCCTCTGCCAGCGTTTGTTGGGTAACATTTAATGGCCTCTCTGAACGCTGAGTTGATGCGGTCTAATGGACCGCCTGCCCTGGTCCCCGTCTGGTCAGAAAATCATATTTTCCCCAAAGCATATCCATCCAGGAGCTTATAATCTAGAGCACAAAATATTTTTAGCCTCTTAGCTGAAGAACGTACACAGAAAGCAGTATATGGAAGGACATGTCATACAGAAAGGTGCCCGTAGATTACAGCAGTAGCTAATGTCGTATAAACATGTTGTATAAACATTTTATCACTGTGACACCTCAGCTAACTGTAGTGGTACAACAGCTGCTCCTAAACCATTAAGGGCGACTGGTTAATCGTCAGGCCTCAGGCAGCTCGTTTGTGGTAACGGCGTTTAACGGTTGGGGGTTGTCACCTGGCGTGTCCCGCGGCTAGGGGAGTCATTTCCGAGGTCCCCGAAACGGCCCTCAGGGGACACCATCAGGACCGGTGTGGGGTCATGGTGGGTGACAGGGCTGTATGGTGCTCTGATGGGGGGGGGGCATGGGAAACGTGGGGGGGGCTCGCGGAAGGCCCTCTCGACCCCGCGAACGGGAGCCGCAGCTGACATGCCGAATCGAACGTGTCGACGGTGCACAGCAAAACACGGGGAAGGAGAAAGAGGCATTTAATCAAAACACGTCTCTGAAGAGAGAGTGACATTTACAAGGTGTGCGTGGGGGGGGGGGGGGGAGACGACGAGCTATTAAATTTTAATGAGCGAATTAAAGCGGCAAGCCTGGGGCTCCGGCACGGTGGCCCCACCCCCTCAGCGCACAGCTGCACGCTGCCACCGCCGTCGCAGGCCCTGATTGCTTTTCGGGCTGCGTTGGGTCCCCCAGTTGTGCCATTTCACCTGCAACGCCTGTCCCCGGGCCCCCATTATATTAGCTCCCTCCCTGGGGGGGCCGGGCGGGGCTGGGGGGGTCGGGATGCTGAATAGCGTGTTCTAATCAACGTGACACGATAACCAGAAGAGAGGCAAAGCGGCGAGACGAGGCTGCAGCGATATTCCGGGATGTTAATGAAGGCAGGGTGGGCGGGAGCAGCTCACAGTGCCTGTGAGGAACATCCACAAACATTCAGATCCATTTATATGCTAATCTGTCTGCAAGAGGGTCTGGGCCGAACACCGGTGCGAGGGGCGGCATAAATCATACAAAGAATTAATTAATTTATCAATTTTAAAACTTCCCCACCCCCCCCTCCACATCTACCTGGGGAGGCTTTATTGCCACAAATATTTGGTTAAGCGTCTTGGAGATTGCCTGGGAAATTGAGTCCTGTTGCCATTATGCGAGTCGTCCCCAGGCAGAAAACGCATCTTGGGGGGTGGGGGGATGGGGGGGGTCGATCTCTGGGGTGGCGGCAGGCTGCGGCGCCTCCTAGGGCCACCGGCACGCACCCGGACACGGCAGACTGACGTCTACGCGTCACTCCTTTGCAGGGGAAACCACGGCGCGTGCCTGCCTACCTCACTTCCTGTCT